ACTAATTCTGTAGAAAAGCGGATCAGCTTCAACAAAAACTATAGTTAATATTAACTCTAATAATTTAGCTAATTACAAATATCTTGTGTTTCTGTGCTTGTCTGGCATAATCCTATTATATTTAACCTTATTTTATTATTTATAGAATATAATTCCCCATAGTTATTTAGTATTTCTTTTGTTTTTAAAATATTTTATAAATAGTTCCAGCTTACCATATTATAAAAAACTAAGCTGCTTAATATAAACTATAAATCCTATTAAACAATAATCATATTTTTTTTTCTAGTCTTGACTCCAGCTCCTGACATTGCCAGTAATTAATTACTGCAGTCTTAGTGATTTAAACCATAGTGCTAATTAATTAGCTATTACACTGCGATTTAAATATTTTGGATTATATGTCTTTATTATATTATATGCTTAAAAAACAACTATCACTTTTTTTTATAATAAAATACTAAACATGAAGTAAAACTAATCTGGTCTATAGTGGTAAAAAAACAGAATGCAAAAAACTTGCTATAAACGCTTGTGATTGAATTGTTTTATTGCATTGAAATATTGGATTAACTAGAAAGTAATTAAAACCAAATTAAAATATAAAAAATATAATTGACTTTATTAGACAATCTTATTTGGAATCTAAATGGTATCTTGCATACTCTACTATGTGATAATTTATAATAAGTTAGAGTACTTAATAAGCTATATAAGCCCCATGTTAGTTTTCTGTAAAGCTATTTTTGTGTATAATGTAAGTTGAAGATAAATAAGTAAAATTAATATAATGACTATTTCAAAAATTTATTTATTTGTAAATCTAAAACTTAAAGATAAAAATTAATTATAATAGCAAAAGTATTCTTTTTACTTCCCTAAAAAACTACATTTATCACAGATGTTTTTTATTTTCTTATTGTTAGTATTTTACTTCTATCACTTTATGGTTATCATTTTGCTTTAAAATTGTATTACACTTATCCGGTTTGATGTAAATACAAGCAAATATTAAATGGTTGTATGCCTGTAATGATCTAATAAGAATATTAATTATTTTATATAGGAGCTCACTGTATCATATCAATATACTTAGCTTTTGCAATTAAG